AGGTTCAGCGCCTTACTACACCTGCCTTTGAGTCAATAACATGTGGACTCGATATGTGGTTGGTCCACATGCAATGCTCCCGAAGGCAGAGGGGTAGTGGGGCCGAGAGGGGTGAGCCGCAGGTCGGGGGACGTGTGGTGTCATGGTTTCGAGCGGCGTCGTGGGAATCTCATGCGATGCATAATACAATAACATAAATGAAAGAGTAATGAAAACGTAAATAGCAAAGTAAAAGAATAAAATAGTCCATATCAAGTTGTGTGTTTCATAATTAACTTTATCTCACCTATTATAGAAATTAACTAACAATGTTTATATGTTTCTCCCTCACCAAGAAAAAAAATAGAAAAGGTGACAAAAAGAGATAAAAACATCAAGTAAAAAGAATAATCTAGAAAATAGAAATAAAAAGTATTTAGAAAGAAAAGAACAACACAAAGAAATGCAAAAGAAGAAACGAGCGTCCATCTCCATCCAGCTCCACTCTTCCATACAGCTCATATGTAGCCCATGCCACGCCAAAAAGAAATATGAAAAAAGACCAGCGTTAGTAATAAAACCCACACCGATCAAAAAGGAAATGAAAAAGAAAATACTAAATCAACGACAATTAATTTGGATCGGAGAGAGTAGCATACAAAGGCGCAGCATGGTATGCCTAAAATACACACACGAAAAACTCACTATAGATTGCCCGCCCTCGCATTGTGGGAAAAAAACATACCAACATGAATCCCGGCACATTAATCCGATAGATATGGAGCTGAATATGACTTAACTATTTCTCAGATGACCAAAAATTAGCAGGCCCGTTTAATTAATTTTGTTGCATGCGGCCTAGCAAACCGGGACGTAGTTTATTTTGTTTTATTTTTTGCGGGGGAAACCGGGACGTAGTTAGGTGACTTGGTAACCAATTAATCCGAAAGGATAGAGTGCAAAATAAAACAATAATTTTTTAGGCAATAAGTAATTATTCAACCGATAGCTAAAGTTTATTTTTTATATGTGGTCACATCAACAATAAAATGGCAAATAAATTACTACGATTGCATACACGTGCCCTATCGCAACTACAACGCACAGACCTCTGTATAGGTCATTTTTACACAATAATGAGTCAGACCAACATTTTAAGATCAACAAAATCATTACAGTCACCCTTTGTAGTTGACGGTGACGTCGTGTCCCACTAAACGAGCATCGTCGTAAAAGGCAGAAATAAATTCATGAAAAAACGAGCACAAATGTTAAAAGTCTAAAACTTGAAACTTGGTAGGCTAGTTCCACGGCAGTGAACCTAACCATCTGAGCTATGCTCATTTGGCCGGACGGCTAATATTGTTGGGAGGTCGTGTAGGTCACACATGCTTGGTTTCATCTAGTGTATGGAGTAGATCAGAAATCTCTCTTTGTAAATAAGGCATATACGTATCAGAAATGCATCTCCAGAATACACACATGAGCTACAATTAGGCGCAGATCTCGATGCGCATTAATGGCGTGATCCGTGGGAGGTGTGCACGCAAGTGCGTGCTCCCCTGCAATTCCAATCTGTGTACATTGAATATAGCAATACACTGTTGAAAGAAAACAAATCTCAAAGAAAGAAGGCCCGAGCAAGCAAGCCCCACGCGGCGGCCAGCTCACCGCGCCCGGCGCCGGCGGCCGACACGACCCGGAGATAGATCGATCCCCACGAGGCCAGAATCCGCGGCCCCGCGCTCCCCTTCCGCCCTGCCACCGCCCGGTCCAACCCCCAAACCCGATCCCCCACGCTATCACCTTTCCCGCCTGCTGTCACCCTCGTTTCCCGTCGGCTCACACTCCACACTCCTCACTCCTCACTGAGGCCAGGCCAGACCTTGCTTTTCCAGCTCTGCTTTCGGCCTTAAAGACACGCCACACCCGCGCGGCCCTCGAGGAACGGCGACGGACCATGGCGTCGGAGACCGCACCGTTCTGCGTCACAGGGACGGCGGGCAAGGGCGGCGCGTCCGCGCCACGCCCGCACGGCCGCGTCGTGCTGGCCGCGCGCATCCACGACACGCTCGTCTTCGCCGCGGGCGCCGTGGCGGCCGTGCTCGTGCTCCTCTGCTTCTCATCCCTGCTCGCGCCCGCGCCCCTGCCCAACCTCGTCGCCGGCCCCTCCCTCCCCTTCCCCACCTCCTTCCCGCAGCCGCAGCAGGAGAACGACGACGGCAACGAGGAAAGCCTGTACGCCCGGGTCGCCGCGGCGCCGCGCACGTTCTACGACGACGCGAAGCTGTCCTACGCCGTGGACGGCCGGCGGGTGACCGGCTGGGACGCGAAGCGCGCCGAGTGGCTGCGCCTGCACTACCCGCGCGGCCTCCGCGCGCGCCGCGGGCCTGGGGAGCGCGTCGTCATGCTCTCGGGGTCCCAGTCCTACCCGTGCGCCGGCGACGGCGGCGACCACATGCTGCTCCGCTTCCTCAAGAACAAGGTGGACTACTCCCGCCTCCACGGGATGGAGCTGCTCTACAACACGGCGCTGCTGCAGCCCGACATGGTGGCCTACTGGGCCAAGATCCCCGTGGTGCGCGCCGCCATGCTCGCCCACCCGGAGGCCGAGTGGGTCTGGTGGCTCGACGCCGACGCCGTCATCACCGACATGGACTTCTCGCCCCCGCTCGCCACCAGGTATAAAGATTACAACCTCGTCGTCCATGGCTGGGACCGGGAGGTGTACGAGGCCAGGTCCTGGGTCGGCCTCAACGCCGGCGTCTTCCTCATCCGCAACTGCCAGTGGTCGCTCGACTTCATGGACGCCTGGGCCAGCATGGGCCCGGCCTCGCCGCAGTACTCTCAATGGGGCAAGACCCTCAAGGCCACGCTCAGCGACAAGCCCGACGCCGAGTCCGACGACCAATCCGCGCTCGCCTACCTCCTCCTCAAGAACCGCAACAAGTGGGGCGCCAGGACGTACCTCGAGAACGAGTACTACTTCCAGGGATACTGGGCGGAGATCGTGGACAAGCTCGACGGCGTCGCGGCGCGGTACAGGGCGGCGGAGCGGCGGTTCGGGCCGGCCCTCCGGCGGCGGCACGCGGAGGGGGACCACGCGCTGTACGCGGCCGCCAGGAACGCCGCCCTGAGGAAGAAGTCCGGCGGCGTCCCGGGGCCCGACGGGGGCGGGCAGAAGGCGTCCGCCTGGCGCCGGCCCTTCGTGACGCACTTCACCGGCTGCAACCCCTGCGGCGGCAGGCCCAACGAGATCTACTCCAACGAGAGCTGCGCCGAGGGGATGCGCCGCGCGCTCAACCTCGCCGACGACCAGGTGCTCCGCGCCTACGGCTTCCGCCACGCCGGACCGCTCAAGGACGACGTGCGCCCGCTCTAGCCTTGTCAAACGTGCAGTTTGTTAGACAGAAAAATCGAATCACCGTTTTGTACTGTTTTATTAGTGAAATGAAAAGATGACAGTGTTGCTTGCTCTGCGTCCGTGTCACTGTCACTGGATGTGGCGGTGCATCATTTTAGCTTCATTTTGGGTCAACATTTCCTTTTTTTTTTACTTCTTTTTTTAGTACTCCCTGTGTTAACTAATATAAAAGCGTTTAGATCACTACCGTAGTATTCTAAATGTTTTTATATTAATTTACGAAGGGAATTTTTTTTTCAAACTTCAACCAAGCATATATACAGGGAGCAGACATAAATCAGTTGTTCAGTCTTTTTCAAAATGAAGTCGATTTTGCTAGAATTTCAACGGATCGGCTTCTTCATTCAACCCCGCGCTACTGTTTTTCTTCTCCCCATCTCTTGTCAAGCCACCCACCTGTGCTGGCCGAACCACCTCCACCTGTCGGCTGGCGACGCCACCTCTACCCTGCTTGCGTCGCCGCTACCCTGGCCATCCCACTGACCCCCGACCAGGAACTCAGCCGGCGACCCTACACCCTAAACCTACGAACCCGTTGTCTCTCCTTCGACAGCAAGCCTTGTCTTCCCTGCCTACTACGCTGAGGTCCTCGCGAGGCCTCACCCGGACGTGGCCACCAACATTGCCCCATATTGGCCTCGGGCGCTAGGCGAAACCGATTGAATTGAACAAATTTTAAGTTGCTCCGGTAATAGCAAATTTGGTATTTATAATTATGTAAATGACAGTGATATCATCAAGATTACCAATAATAATAGTTTTTTTACCATGCGTGTTGACAATCAGTTTTGCTAGAACTCAACTAGATGAGATATAATTTGGTCTCAATCATCTTTTATAGCCATTGAATGTGATGCTATAAGATGCGTGTGTGCTAATGTGGGTTGTATCTGTTCTTATTTTTAAAGTGAATGAGATCAAATTATATCTCATCTAAATGATTTTTAGGTACTCCCGTTGACAATTGTACTACATCCAGATCCAGAGGAAGTACCACTTGTACCTGCCAACAAATCAAATCGTGTTCACAGACCTTATTTAAGAGCAGGCTGACACGTGTTGACTAAGATATCCTATTCGTACATGTCAGATGGCATTTAAGGAAATCAGATTCGTGCTTGCAGTACCTTTGATTTGAATAAGGTAGTCAGCCGATTGTCTGGAGTAAGTATACGAGATTCTATGCTTATTATCTTACCTTCTCTTCACCACGTGTCTCTCTATCATGGGTTCACTCTTCTTCTCGCGATTATTACAGATTAATTAAGCTGATCAAATGGAGGAGGGAGAATGGAGGAGGGAGGGTGATGGGGATGTGGTTGCAGATCATGTCGCGAGAGATCCCCATTCTCCGGCGGCTTTGGTGCCACCACATTGTCCTTGTTCTCCAGGGCCTCGTCACCTTCAGCTCCTCCTGGACCAGCCCATTCCACAATCGTGATCCTAGTGATTTTTTAAGTTACGTGGACCGCCGTGCCAACGAACACGAGTGAGCCGGTCAAATCATTGGTTTTTGTTTTTTGCAAACCAGGAAGAAACCAACTGGTTGAACCATTTTCGCACGTGCAAAAATCAGAAAATAAGGTGCATGCGAGAGGACTTAGGCTCAGATCTCCATCAATATCTTGGCTTCTCTAACACATCTTGCCGAGCATTTTGTCAGATCTAGAACATAGATACAATGGTGACACAAAAGAGGGCCGCTTGCTAGCATATCATGTCTTGCATGCCGATGCCGCTCACGGGGCGTGCCTTGATGTATCATAAATCCTATCATAAGTGACATTGCATCGAGGAATGTTAGAATTTTTAAAAAGGTAACATGTATAGTTATTTCATATGTGCATTGTTTTCGATAGATTCGAATGTTTATTGGTAACAACTCATATATACATGTATCCATTATTATTACTATATACTAAGGGCCCCAATTTTTTGTTCGTCCCGGGCCC